TGGCTAAGACCACCCCTCAAGAAGGTGGATTCACATAGTGCCCTAAGAGGTTGTCTTTTATGGTAAGATGCATTTCTTGCAGTCAACAGATAGATGAGCCTTGTCTTTTAATGCAACCTGCTAATGTGTGTCCTTTGATGAGGGACTTAAACCCTTTATCTTAGTTAGGGTTCCTACTGCTGTGAAGAGACACCATGACCATGGCAGCTCTTATAAAGGAAAGCATTTCATTGGGGCTGGCTTATAGTTTCAGTGGTTTAGTCATGGTGGAACCACAGTAGCACACAGGCAAACGTGGTGCTGGAGAAGGAGCTGAGAGTTCTACGTCTGGATAGAAACTAGACCTGTAACACGAAAAATGGAAGACCCAGAGACTGATATTGGGGTTTAAGCTTCAAGCTGAATATCAGAAAAGCAAAGCAGTCTATTAAAGTGATTTACAGGGTTGAATGAGACTATCGTATTGCAAGGCTTTCCATAGCATCCATTCCTGTCGTGTCAGGTAACTTTTTGTAAAAGTTTCCTCAATTTCTTGCTGTAAATCACAAATCGTTTGAGAAGAACCAGGGTGACTCATCAAATGCATCTGCTGCCCCTGTTTCATTAGCGTTTAAAAAATTTAAAGTTAGTAAAGCATTATGAAATCTATCCCAGTGGGGGAGGTCCTCATCTCCTCCTTCTGTTTAAAAAGCATCTCCTTTCTAAGTACGATTCAATCTTTCAACAATTGCTTGATTTGTAGGATTATATGGTATGTGTTTTACGTGATAAAATGCAAAAATATTGTTTTATTTTATTGGAAACAAGCTGGGACATTAGTTTGAATTTGTATCAGTATACCCATTACAACCATTGTTTCTAATAAGCGTTTAATTATAGAATCAGTCTTTTTAGAAGTTAGGACAGATGCCCTTTGGAGCCCAGAGTATGTATCAATGGGGTGATGAATAAATTTCAAATTTCTAAATTCTGTTAAATGAAATACATCCATTTGTCAAATTTTATTTATTTATTTGTGTGTGTGTGTGTGTGTATGTGTTTTCAAAATTAAATCCTACAGATAAAGAAACTTGATTACCCAAAGAACTTTTTTTTTTATGATTTCCTTAGCTTGTTGTCAGGTAATGGAAATTTTTTTCTTTAAGCATTTACTATTAACATGATGTTTCTTATGAAATTCTGAAGCTTTTAACACATTTCCTGTTATTAATTGATCATTTTTTATTTCCTTTTGTTAATGGCCCAAGCAATCCAGTTTAAGACCAAATATGAGTGATGTACAGTAGATAATTTTTGTCCCAGGTTGCTTGCTGCAGTTGTGCAAATAGAAAAAGTTATTTCTGGAATTATCAGGAATAAGTTCAGCAGTTTCTTTATATAACACAACCTCTTCTGCATTATTGAAAATCAGTAATTATATTAAGAGATTTATTAAAGTCTAATAAAACCATTAGAATGGCATATAATTCTGACTTTTGAGCTGAATCATAAGGACTTTGAATTACTTTAATGATATTTCCTTCCTTCTAGCCAGCTATTTCTAATTTATCTGTGTCAGTATAAAACGTAAGAGACCTTTGTTCACTATGAAGGGAATAATCTATCCTTTCTTTTTATGAACTGAACTCCCATCATTGTAATAAATTTCTCCCCATAAATTCATGGCTATATCAGCCACAGTTTTAATACCCTTGCCTTTTGGGCCCTGTACATTTCATCCACTCCACACTTTGTTTCACCTGAGATAATATCCCAATGCCTAAGAGCTGGGTGGAGACTTCTTTACCTTTACAGTCAGTTGGAATTCCAAGATCATACATCAGCTTTAGTGTTCATTAAAACATTTAATCTCAATGGCATTTACTTATAATTTTAGTTTTGGCCTCTCATCATTAATAACGGTTTGCCAAAATACTTTCTTTTTAGTATTTTTTAAACCTCCTGCCCTACGTATTGAAGTTGTTTTATTTTTAAAATATGGAGCAATAACAATTGAACAATTTTTTTTTTTTTTTTTTGGTTTTTACGAGACAGGGTTTCTCTGTATTGTTTCGGAGGCTATCGGTCCAGCCCGGCCTTTAACTCACAGAGATCCGCCTGCCTCTGCATCCCGAGTGCTGGGATTAAAGGCGTGCGCCACCACCGCCCGGCCAACAATTGAACAATTTTAATACCAATTTTTATCAGTATAGTCCTTGTTACATAAGCCGTCTATAAAAGCAGTGAAAGCAATCTCTATAGGATCTTAAGAGGTGACTTCGGGAAATATTCACGGAGTATTTTTATAAAAATTTAAAAAGAGGATTTTTTTAATATAGTTCCCAAGTAACATGTGTAACACTACTACTACTACTACTAATAATAATAATAATAATAAACCAGAGACAGATATTGGGGTTAAAGCTGAAGATCAGAGGAGCAAAGTAGCCAGCCACTAAAGAATTCTCACCACTACTAATGCTCAGACCTAAGGGGTGATCCTGTCCTCAGACTGCTCCGGGTCTGCACTGCTCCTCTGGCTCACCCAGACTGCACTGAGCTCCTGTCTCCTCCCACCTTATATTCCTCTCTAGTGCTGGGATTAAAGGTGTGCACCGCCACTGCCTGAGTTTTTGCCTTAGTAGCCACTTTATCTAATAAGCTAACAACTGATCTGTTTCAGATGTTAACACATCTACAGATTTTATCAAGAATTTCCAGAAAACAACTTAAAGACCAGACCCAAATGCTCAGGAATGATAAACAGACAGGAGCATACCCAACGATACAGTTTAAAATCATGACTTTTGTTCTTTTAGGTTTTGCTATGAAAATTACACATTCACTTAAACATTATTTAGACAATCAAGAGAAGAGAATGTCCTCATACGATGAATGACCAAAACCTTTGGAAGTTCAAACAGCATCAGCCTAGCGCTATGCCCTAAATGCAATTTTACTAGAAGTTGGACTTGTTATAGTTTTTATTTTTTCTTTCTCCCATTTAGGAACCTTTAATAATTGAGTTAATCCCGCTCTGAGGGAAAAACAAAAATCATTTAAACCAAAATGAAGCAAACAAACAAGAAACTTTTAAACTCGGGGTGGGGGGGGCGCTCTGCTATCTCAGGCTGCAGCATCGAAGTCTCCGCCATCCTTTGTAATTCAGATGCAGCCGCCTGGTGCTGGCAGACTCTTGGTTGAAAGAGCAGACAGGCAGAGAGCTGAGTTGCAGCTATCCTTAATTTATTTCTTTTATCTCGAAGAACCTTTTTCCTTCCTCTATTTCTACCAGGAGGAGGGTTTTTCTTCCCTTTGTTTTATGTCTGTGGTGATATTTTGTTTATGTCATCACAAATAAAGCTTGCTTGAAGATCAGGGTGCAGAGCTAGTCACAGCCACAGACGCCAGGCAGTGGTGGCACACACCCTTAATCCCAGCTCTAGGGAAGTGGAGACAGGAGTGAAATGACTGGGCAGAGAGAAGAATGTAAGGAGGGAGGAGACAGGAGCAGTGCAGTCTGAGGTTTGGTGGAGACAGATGCAGTCGGATTCTGTCTGAGGATTCCTGGAGACAGGATCACCCTTTCGGTCTGAGGTAGAGGCAAGAGCTGGTGACTGGCCGCTTTGCTTCAGGCAAGCTTTATTTGTTAGATCATGAACAAAATACCACCACACACATTCGCAGGGCCCTTTAATTTTCAGGCCTGATTAAACACTTTCCCTTTTTCTACCGAGATGTTCTTTTTTTCTTGATTAAACATATCTCTTTTTCCCATCAAGCAATTTTCTTTTTATATTTCCTTTTCTTCCCTCTTCTCTACTGAGAAGGGCCTTTTTCTTTGATTTAGTCTTTGTCTCAGGAGTCATTCTATTTCTATCTTTAGTATTTGCCATAATTGTGCAGTTAGTGATTTTTCTTGTAAGAAGCACTTTAGTAACTGTCCATTTTGTTGCTCCTGAGATGGGGGATTTAAATTCCCGTGACCCTGCCAATCCTGGAGTCCTCGTACCTTGAGAGTGGTGCATCTTTCTTTTCTAACCTCCGGTCCTAAAGAATGTCTGGATCCCTTTTTTCTTCAAGCCATACGACACTTGTGCCAAAATGCTGTGTCAAGTGTTCGGTTCACACTGGTCCAGGGAAGAAGCAGGGCCACTCTGGGATGAGTTTTAGACTTGACAGCCACAGGGGAGTCAGCTTCTGGTGAACTGATGGACTGTAGCTTTGCAAAAGGCTTTTTTAGTGTTATACGATTTACACCTTAGCAAGTCAAGTTGTGCTTACCAAAACCTCTTATCTGACGCTCCACCAAGAGACAAATGCCAAAGCAGTTCTCAGTCACAGAACTCTTGGGTTTTCTCTAGTTCTTCTGCAGCCAAGTTTTGCATAGGCTTTGAATCTTTCCAGAAGCACTCAGGTAAGATTTACCTACTTCAAACAGAAGGAAGCAGACACAAAAAGCAGATCAAGGCCCAGGTGCTACCACTCCAGAATCAAACCAGCTGCAGAGCTCTGTGGGAACTCCAAATACATTTATCTCTGTGTTTCCGTGTCGTGTCGTAAGCCTTCTGTGGTCTGAGATTGAGGTGACTGAATGGACGGACAGAATGGGTAATAAAACCAGTAATCTCGGCACTCCTCTAAACTGTGATGTAAGGAACTTTGACTGACTTCACTCTCCTATCATTTAGCAGCGTTACGATGACCCTATCTATCACCAAGGATCACTTCTGGTCCTCCTATGAGCTGGAATGGCCTACATTTGGGGTCAAATGGCTCAGGGGGGACACTTATGACCACCCAGGTGGTGTGGGCAGCAGTCAACAGCTCCCTTGGTAATCCTGGCCACCCAGACCGGATTGAGTAGTGTGGTGGCTGGAAAGAAAATGACCCCCCTAGGGAGTAGCACTATTAGGAGGTGTGGCTTTGTTGGAGTAGGTGTGGTCTTGTTAGAGGAAGTGTATCACTGTGGAGAGTGGGCTTTGGGGTGTCCTATGCTCAAGCTGTGTCCATTGTGACATAATTGCTTCTACTCCCTGTGGATCCAGATGTAGGACCCTCAACTCCTCCTCCAGTACCACGTCTGCCTGCTGCTGCCATGTCCTGCCATGATGACAATGGACTGAACCTCTGAAACCGTAAGCGAGCTACCCCAATTAAATGTTTTCCTTTATAAGAGTTGCTGTGGTCATGGTGTCTCTTCACAGCAATAGGAACCCTAACTAAAACAGGTACATTCAACCCTGGGCAGAGGCAACCTTTAATCCTACCACTTGGATAACGGTTTCTATGGTGTCAGAACATGGTCCAATAAATAAATAAATAAATAAATAAATAAATAAATAAATAAATAAAAGCAAAAAGAAAGAAGGGAGGGAGGGAGCAAGGAAGGGAGGAAGGGAGGAAGGGAGGAAGGGAGGGAGGGAGGGAGGGAGGGAGGGAGCGAGGAAGGGAGGGAGGGAGGAGGGAGCAGCTCCTTGGGAAACTGTGAGGAAGACTCTAGGGAAGGGTAGAGGGCCTGTCACCTCTGGTGCATTTTGTCCCCTGGATTGTTCTGGCTCATGATGTCATGCCTCCTGTGACAAACATTTGCTGGGTGTGAGAACACAGTCTGGTCAGTGTACCCTGAATCTGCATATGGCCTTCTGCCTTGCTTTTGTGGTTTCCCAGATATAATCTACAGTACATGACAGGCAATTGTGTTTAAATTGATCTATCCTGAGAAAGTTCTGGGAAAGGGCTGCTCTGTTAATATCTAATATGTGTTGCTGACATTTATTTTACATTTTTCTAATCATGTTTTTCTGGTAATGTTTTTCTGAATGTCAACACCCTTCCCTGGAGCATTGCTTTGCTTCGTTTATGGGTAAAAGTAGATTGGAACGGGAAGTAAGGCTGTCCGCAGCGTTAGACTGGAGTCCTCCCCGTTAGACTGGAGTCCTCCCCGTTAGACTGGAGTCCTCCCCGTTAGACTGGAGTCCTCCCCATTCTCTCAGGTCGCCAGATCCCAGGTCCAGCAGGCAAGATCTGCACAGATCAGCAAAAGTGACAGTATGGAGGGGAATGGGAAGGGTGGCCATGGTCTGGTCATGGCAAAGAAACCCTACCCCCTCCCCGCCCCTGTGGCTGGGGACCAAAAGCCCCCAAAATCCTGCCCCACAGGACTCCCCGGAGGACCCCCTTCTTCCCCCACACACTCCTCATTATCCGCCGCTGCCCCCACCTCTCCTGAGACCAATGCCTTCTCCTCCCCCTTTCCTTCCCTCCCCTCAGCCTCTCCCACAATCACCCCATTCAACTGCCCCACCCAGTTCTGCTTTTTCCCCTCTCCATACCCGTCAGGGCCGCTCTTATGGGCGACCAGACTCAGTTCCGTGCCCCGAGTAACCTGCAGCTTCCGTTTCTGTCCCTACAGCAGGAGCCACCCTGGCTCCCATGCTTCCTCTTTCATCGCCTCTGTGGCCACCATGGTCTGCTGTGCGTTCTTCACTACAGAAGAAAGACAGGGCGTCCTAGCAGAAGCGGCTGAGGACCTGCCTAGGCTAAGAGCTCTTGTTAACGACCAGAGAGCAGTGGCAACTGACCAACCTCTTCCCCGAAAGGAGACCAAGATGGGACTGTGGGAAGAAGGAGGGTAGGAAACCACACAGTGAGTACCACTTCCAGAAGGTCTTAAGCAAGCAGCCCACAAACCTGCTGATTTGTCTGAAATAGCTGATATGAGTCAAAGCTCAGACGAAGCACCTTCAACGTGTCTCAAGCACTGGCTGGAGGCCCACTGTCTACATCCGCCTATAGGCTGGAGGACCCAACAGACTTGAGGTGATTCACCTGGCCTTTGTAGCCCAGTCTGCCTCAGACATGTAAGAAAATCCAAAAGGGTTTATAGGGAAGAATAGGTCAGAATTATTGGAGATATGTCCCCGCCCCAAAAGATGTTTGACAATGGAGACAGCACACCTGGGGCTTTCAATCCTGGACAAGCAACACACACACACACAGAGAGAGAGAGAGAGAGAGAGAGAGAGAGAGAGAGAGAGAGAGAGAGAGAGAGAGAGAGAGAGAGAGAGAGAGAGCCCCTGCAAAAAGATAAATGTGCTTATTGCAAGGAAGTGGGCCACTGAAGAAACAAATGCCCCCAACAGAAATGCCTCCCCAACCACAGGTGACATTCCTCAGCCAAAACTAGTTGTGACTCTGAAAGAATAGGGAGGACATGGCTCTTTCAAATTAAGCCCCCAGGAGCCCATGCTAACCTCTATTAGGGGGCCAACCTGCAAACTTCTTGGTAGACACAGGAGCTCCATTTTCAGTATTACCCAAACCCCTGGGACCTCCCCCCAAAAAATAATGAAAGTGCAAGGAACAAGAGGAGAAATTAAAAGACATGATTGTACTACAAAATGGACTGTTGACTTAGGAAAAGGAACTCAGTCTCTCATTGTTATTCCTGGACGTCCGTTTCCCTTGCTGGGGAGAGACCCTCTGAAAAAGTGAGCTCCAAACAACTATCTCGTTCTTAGGAGAGGTGCCCAGGCTGCAAACAGAGAATCTAGCCACAGCCCTGACCATCACCTGCCCCTTAATCTAGGAGTATCTCCTCTTCCAAAACCCAACCTGAGACCTAGAGAGGGAACTAAAGGAAAACTTGATGTCTGGACTGAAGCTATTTCCCCAGGCCTGACCAAGCTTATGCCCCCAGTCATAGTACAGCTGATCTTGGGGGCCATGCCCATCTGGGTTAGACAGTACCCTATTAGCTCAGAAGCCAGAGGAGGGATCTGTATCCACATCAGATGCCTCTCAAGGCACGCGTGCTCACTCCATGACGGCCAGCCTGGAACACTCCTTTATTGCCAGTTCAAAAACAGGGAACCCAAGACCATAGGTGGGCGTGGGGTCTAAGTGAGGAGAACTAGAAGAGAGAAGCGATTCACCCAGCTGTTGTCAATCCCTGTACTCTGTGGAGCATGCCGCCACCTGAGCAGAAGGTCCATCCTGTGCTGGATTTAAAAGATGCATCTTTCTCCATTCCTCTGTAAAAACTAAGTCATCCCATCTTTGCGCTGAATGCGCCAATCCTGAACTGGGAATATCAGGACAACTGTCCTGGACCCGATTACCTCGGAGTAAGAGAATCCAGGAGTTCCCCTACCATCTTTGATAGGCTCTTAGTTTCCACAGCAGACAGGTCACCAAACTCTAGCCAGGTTCAGGAGGTTACACTGGGCCTCATATCCGAGCCTTTTTTTAGGCCCAACATCAAAATCACCTATTTGGGGTAGAAATGAAAGGGAGGAAAAAGACAACAGTCAAAAGCCTGCATGAAGCCATGAGCATCCTCACCCTGCTCATAAAGGAGCAAGTTAGGGACTTCTTGGGGGCCATCAGGTACTGCCATCTCTGGATACCTGGATTTGTTGAAATTGCCACAGCAGAGGCCATACCCCCCCCTTGGAATGACTCAGAACACACAGGCTTCCGAGAGCTTCAAGGAGGCTTTTGTAGGGGCTCCCACTTTGACTCTCCCTGATGTCACCAAGCCCTTGTGTCGTTATGTTCATGAAAGCAAGGACATTGCTAAGGGAGTCCTGACCCAAACACTGCGTCTTTGGAAAGGGCTGGTAGCCTATATTTAAAAGAGATTGGATTCAGTAGCCTCAGGGTATCTACCCTGCCTGCAGGCCTTAGTAACTTCAGCAGTCCTTGGGAAGGACCAGATTCCTCTGGAAGTCCCCAGCCTGCACTTCTTTCTTATAAAAGGGGCAAAAGATGTTTCCCAATCACTGTTCTCCCAAACCCTGCTTTAGGGAGATGGTCCTGCCCAGACAAGAAGCTTGTTCACTCTCAGTAAGGCTTGCACCAAAAGCCCGGTCAACAGTCTTCACTCTTGTTGGGTGAGAGTAACAGAGCATATTAATAATCATTCTTTTTGAGTTCTTTTATTTTAATTTCTTAGAATTTTTAATCTAATTAACTTTCATTGGAGGCCATTACTGTAGGACTATTGAGTGTAGGGAAATTTTAGTTGCCTTGGTTTCTCACGTTACTTGTGTTTTTCACCATGAATTGTGCATATATAGAGAGGTCATGGGTTAGGTTCATTCGTTTCTTCAATGTTTACTTATTTTACCTCTCTTTTCTTCCACAGCAAGTGTTTGCAGTATTCAGGAGGAATGAGATTGCTGTAGTATTATGATGTTGTTTCCCTGTGTTATAACGGCGGTTGGGGCACCAGACTCTAATCCAGGTCCTTCTGAGTTTTATTTTCACCAACTCCCCTTTCTCACTCTCTATGGCCTTCCGAAACGCCATTCATTGGCCACCACAACCAGATGGTACCTGCATTTTGAACGCAAACTTCTAAGGCTCCAAACAATAGAAAGTCCTGTAACACGAATAATAAATGACAGAGACAGATACTGAAGATCAGGGAAGCAAAGCAGCCGAGCAGCTGCTCTCACTCTAGCTCAGGTGGAAAGGGCTGATCCACGCACGAGCTCTTCAAGTCTCAAACTGCTGCTTCTCCTCAGCATGGCTAGAGAATGAATGCCTCTCTGAGACCTTGCTTCTGTCTTACATGCTTCCCTAATGTTGGGAATAAAGATGCAAGCTATAACTCTCTTTTAGACTGATTCAATCTTGTGTAGATCTGGGTGGCCTTGGACTCACAGAGATCCATCTACCTCTTAATTCTGAGTCCTAGGATTAAAGGTGTGTACCACCACCTCCTAGCTTCCAGTTGCTGGGATTAAAGGTGCATGCCTGGCTTCTAAGGCCTGTGACTGACTTTGCTTTTCTGAATCCTCAGTCAAGCTTTAATAAATCATAAATAATATGTCACTACAGTATCTTACTTCAAAAAGGAGAGACTATTAACTAGGACTGTCCAATTGGATTGCTTTATTGCTATTGATACTAAAATTATTAATATATTAATAACAAATTTAGGTCTAGGAAGTCCTATGATAGACTCAGAATTCTGTCTTCTTAGAATGATTTCAACTATTAACTTTTATTAGAAATACCCCAAGATTTGGGATTGAATCTTTTATTCAAATTATACAGCAACAATTAACAACAACAGTTCTCATGGCACTGGAGTTTGGCTGTACAAACTGTTCATAATTATAGTATGATTCAAAACCATCAGAAGTGAGAGTAAATGTGCTTGTTTCCCGTTGATGACCTGTCTGCTCTCCCATGAGGCTGGAGAACTGTGACTACTGCCCCCCCCCAATATGAGGAGAGATTCTTAGAAAGTCCAGGAACAGTCAACACAGCACAACAAGGAACCACGTTTGCAATCACTGTCAAATCAAACTGCAGCCTGCGAGTCTCCATGCATACAGATTCTATCCTTCTGTTGTGAACTGCAGCCTAACTTGGTCAGGAAACAAGCTGAAGTGTTGGCAGTTTGCTTTTATGGCAAGTCTCAGCCAATCACACTAGCCAAGCCTGAGTAACACATGGCCAGTCGTCAGATGGAACCAAACTGAATTAAGACAGACTGTTAGTACCCCACTTCCATTTTCCACCCTTCTCTTTTTTTAACCTGTCTGTAAACGTCGCCATCCATGGGGAAACTTCAGACCTTTTCTGCATCTACTGTGGTCTGAGGGCCTGGCCAACTGTTCTATACCTGATAACCTCTTTTATAAAATTGTCTCCCTATTTATACCATTGGCTTTCAGACTTCTTACAGGTGGGAAGAGCCCAGTGTTTAGGGCACTGTCACTGAGTATTCTGTTACCTTCCAGTCAGAAGCATCAGGCCAGGGAAGGCAACAGAAGGGACATCCCTCTCCCTTGTGTGTTCTCTGCACCAGCATGCCTTCTCCACTCTGTCCCACACCCTCTTACAAGGACAGCCTTGGCCACTCCAAGCCCCACTGCCAGGACACCTTTGATTCTGCTAACCAGGGCACGCTCCAGTCCACACAGATTAGTGAGTCCAGCATCAGTACACGCAGTTGGGTGGAGTGAGGGGAGCTCAGGAGGCTCCGGGAGTGAAGAGCTGCATCAGAGAGAAGAGAAGGGAGATGAGGGAAGAGAATGTACGGCAGGGTTAGACATTTGCATTTTCCAACGGCATTATTTCCCATGTTGCAATTAGGCTCAATTTTAAAAGTATTCATTATTATTCTGTTTCCTGCTGAGTGTGTGCCAAAGCTACAGCTCATCCTACCCCCTCCTCCAGGTCCCGAGAGACACAGCCTGGGGGACTCTGGTTTACAGGAAAGGTTTGGATGCTTCTCTGCTTGCTTAGAGACCACAGCAGAGATGCTGAAGCTGCTGTGGGCCCAGTTCTGTCTGATGGCTGAGTGAGCAGAGGAAACATTCCTTCTCCATGATGCCAATGATACCCAGGACAGGAGACAGCAGGACTCTTCAGAGCCTCCTGTTCCATGCCTCCTTCAGGAGGCTCCAAGGCAGCAAGGACTTCCTTCTGAACTTCGATCCATTTCTCTGCAAGCCAACTGTGCACTTCTCAGGCATTGGGAGAGACAGGGAGGACATAGGCTGTGTGTAGCCTCATGAGATATGGGTGATCAAGGGAAGCCTCCATCGTGAATCATTTTCTAACCGTGTTTCTCATCACGTGGTCTCAAGAGCCTGGAAGAGAGAGAGAAAGGATAATATTTTTGACAGATTATATTAGTGGAGCTTCATTTTTCCACCCAGAAAAGAATCTGAACTTTATTCTTTCACGTAGATCTTCACATAGAATGTGAAAAAAGTCTAGGTGAAAGGATATGCTACCTTATATCACATAAAAATGCTTGCCCCAAAATTATCAAAGACCTAAATATAAGAGATACCATCTGGATGTGCAGGAACAGATTCGTTTTCTCTGCTGGTTAAAGAATGGGAAGGAAGGAAAAGTTTGAAAGTCAATGAAAGCCAAACTTTAGCCAAAGAGGACGGTCTCATCAGAGCTTTACAAAGAGACCCCTAGCGGGGCCAAAAACATCTCTCAGCAGCTCCCTGGAGGAGAATAAAGGAAAGAGAAAGGAGAAAAGATCACATTGTTTGAGTTAAGCTGGCATGAATGTCATTTATATGGTAGGTGGGGAGCCTTAGAGAAAAATTAGGAAAGCCCACAGTGTCTTAGGTTCTGGCCTGTGTTGGAAAGAGATGGGAAAAATGGAAGATGGCACCTTTCTGAGTCAGGATCCAGAAAGTCAAGGCAGACAGACCCATCAGTGGAACCACGGTAACAGGAAGTCAGCATCAGTGGAACCACGGTAACAGGAAGTCAGCATCAGTGGAATCAGGGTAACAGGAAGTGAGCATCAGTGGAATCAGGGTAATAGGAAATCAACATCAGTGGAATCTAACAGGAAGTCAGCATCAGTGGAATCACGGTAACAGGAAGTCAGACAGCAGACCCAGCTGAACTTCAGGGCATCTTGCAAGGACTGTATTAGAGGAGTGGGAATCCTGTGAAGCCAAGTACAGTATCTCATTCAAGGATAATTTTCCACTTATCTCTTTAGCAAGGTGATCCTTGTGGTGGTCCCACCTTCCCAAGGGGTGGCCCCATGATCAGGTGATTGACCAACCCAACTAACTCTGTGATGTTATGGGTGACTTGGAATGTTAGGTCTCCACCCAGCCCAGAGAATTCACCTTCTTGACCATAAAAACTGATCTCCCTTAATGGACCTTTTCTGCAGCTGTAATTAGTGTTTAAACCATAATATTCTTTTCAAAATGGGGGTAAGTCTTTGTGATCTGATATTAGACACTTTTTTGACATATGACAGATACCGAAGGTACCAGCATCAATAACAAAAATAAATTATAATCCACAGAATTTAAAGCTTACTGTGAACTGATAGTCCATATCCTAGGACTCAGGATATGGGGAGACAAAAGGATCAAGAGTTCAAAGCCAGCATGAGATCCATAGTAAGACTCCTTCTTAAAAGCCCAAGGACTGGAGCTAGAACATATACCAAGCTCTGAATTCTCTCACCAATACTTACAGAAAATTTGTGCTGTGGAGATGGTTCAATGGGTAATCAGTCAAGAGAATAGAAGGCAGTGAAGGAAGACATTCTAGAGATTAACATATGAAAGGCAGTGCCAGACACAAGACTGGTGACCCGTAGTTTACCTGGACTTCATTAAACCAAAGAAAATGCTCAAGAAAAAGTCAATATAGGAATCTTGAAAAGTGGGTGTGGTGGTTTGCATGTATCTGGCCACCGTAATCTCATAGGGATAGCACTATTAGGAGCTGTGACCTTGTTGGAGGAAGTGTGTCACTGTGTCACTGTGGGGGCAGGTTTTAAAGGTTCCTGTAGGGGAAAGATCACATACCCCTTATTCCCATCATCAGACTCCTATGCCCAGCAGTAACCCAGAGAACCAGTTGCATTCCTGCTGCTTGCAAATGTAGGACTCTCAGCTCCAGCACCAGGTCTTGAAAGACCCCTACCCAGGGCCCCTAGGAAAAGAAAAACAATGCCAGGCCATTGCCTAATGGAAAAACCCAGACCAGGTGCCTCACCCTCAAACAGAATGTCAAACAGGATGTCTGTGATCACCAGAGCTGTCATGGGACCCAGATACTTGTGTCTATGATCACCATAGCAGTCATGGGACCCGGATAATAATTGCTGAAGCGTGCTGGGGTCTTTCATGAGGTAATACCAGGAAACCTAGTCTGTGGGAACTACCCCTGCCCCCAAGATGAGCCAATGAAATGCCTGTTGTTATGCTGATACTTATGTAACCATTAAAACTCTATAAATATTGTGCTCCCTGCAAGCCCGGTATGTTCTGCACTCGAGTTGCAGTAGCATCCACAGGCGCCTGGATACTCAATAAATCACCTCTTGCATTTGCATCCAGTGGTCTGGCCCCAGTTCTTGGGCAAAGAGTCCGGTTCAGTGCCCGGCGCTTTGATGCCGAGGTCTTTCAGTCTGTCTGCATGCCACCACTCTCCCCACCATGATGACTGAACCTCTGAAACTGAAAGCGAGCCACCCCAAGTAAATGTTTTCTTTGTAAGAGTTGCCATGGTGTCCCTTCACAGCAATAGAAAACCTTAACAAAGAGAAGAGTTGGCAGCAGGGACTGGGGTGTTGCTGTGATAGGCCTGGCCATGCTTGTGTTTGCAGTAACATGGACTTTGGGAGTTTGGGTTAGGAAAGCACTGGAAGGCTTCAAGTGCTGCTTAATGGACCACACTAGTAGGAGCATGGAAGACAGAGGTGCTAAGAGTTATTTGAACTGTCAGGAGCTCATTCAAGAAGTTTCAGAGTAAAGAATTTCAGAATGTTTCCTAGAGATTATTCTTGTGATATTTTTGTGGAGAAATTGGCTGCCTTTTGCCTTTGTTCAAAGAGTCTGCCTAAGACTAAAGTGAAGGATTTTAGATTAATTCCGTTGGCAGAAGAATTCTCAAAACAGCCTAGTGTAGACTCTCTTGTGTGGTTTTTAGTGCTAACTCTAATGAAGATTTATAATGAAAAGAAACAAGCTAAGCGGGGTAAATTACAAAATGAAAATTTTGAGGAGGAAAAGAGTACCAGGAAGTAGAATAGAACTAAATTCTGTGTTCAAGAAGATGAAAGAATTAAGAAATGGAATAAAGTGAGGATCTTTA